GGAACCAAATAAAAAGCCATCCTGTGTCCTAAGTAGTAGCTACTTGAGCTACTAGCTATCTTGCTTCTACTAGCTACCTACCTAGCTAACCTACCTCACCTCTACGGCCTACCCCCCCCAGTCTTCAAAAATAAAACGACAACAACAACAAACACAACCTGCTTCTTTTGTTGAGTGGAGCAGTGCTCCATGATGTTCCATACTGAACCCTCAACTCCCCAACCGTCAGCCTGACCACTTCCCAGCGTTCCACGCCACCATGCCAAGAGTGTGCAGACCTCGGAATTGCTCGGTATTTATGGGTTTTGTTTCGGGCGTCTTAGGATTGGTGAAACATTGTGAAACTATCTGAGCTTTCGGTTTGAGTTAGGGAGTGTTCTCCAAACACCTTTCATACTTGCAGCAGTTTGCGGGATCACACCGGGTATGGGTCAAGGACAGTTTGGTGAGATAGGGAGACGCAGTCAGTTTATTACGCTGTGTATCATTGGCAGCTCCTCAAAGCAAAGCACACTCAAATAGCACCAGAGTTTGACTACACTAGGTGGTTTGTTGAGACCAAGGTGGTTGGTTAAGTTTCCAAAATCTAGAAACCCAATCATTAGCACAAGCGGCGTGAACTATCCAGTAGGTAGTAGCTTAAGTAGCTACCAGTAGAACCTTACTTGATTAACTAGGCGCCTACCTAATTCAGTAAGGAGGCAGGGACCGGCTTTTAAAGAAAGCTTTAAACTGCACTCTTCGGCTCTAGACTCTCTGCTCTTCGGACTACCCGTCAATCGAAAATATACTCTGGACTGTTGCCACGGCATCGTAAAATAGCTGTTTGGCTTGGCCAGCGCACCAGCAGGCCGCCAAAAGATGCACGCTCAGCCCAGCCCTGCAGCTCGTTGGCGTCCATGACCTGAAGACTCCCTATCCCTCTCATCTACTCTCCCTCTCTGGATTGAAACTGGGGGTGAAGAATTTATAAATATTGGCTGCAAACAATTGCTCAGTCAGTGTACGTTCTTGTTGGGCCACAAAAGCCACTTGCAGTGTCTAGTGCCTAAGGCAGGCACTCCTGGGGCTCCATGTGCCAAAGGGTTGTCCACAGCGTGGGCCGGCAGAGCTCCAAGGGCCTCAGTCTCAAATCGGCATTGTGCTCCTTTCCTTGTGCTGTTGTGGACAAAGCCAAATACAAAAGCTTTGGTTCAAGGATTCCCAAATACACTTTTGCCTCCAATTCAGCAGGCACAAGGTGCGTTTCTTTTCTGTTTAAGAAGCTGCTGCTACCTGAACCAAGGTCCGCACTGCAACAGTGCCTGCAGCTGCAGTCACCGCCTGGACAAAGCGGTTGCTCTCGATTGTGTTGATAGACGTTGTCAGTAAATGCTGTATCAATACAACGCATTCCCGTTCGCAAAAGAGCTTGTGGGCCTGCTCTTGCACGCGTTCGCTGGCCAGATTGTCCACTCCTAACATGCAGAAGTATGTGGAAGCACGAAAAGAATACCAGGTCCACTAGTGGCCTCGCGGTGCAGGAACAAATGCTTGCCAGGACCAGCAGGCAAGGGCCAAAACCTGGGAATGTATCGCGACAGTCTGCTGCTCTTCACATCGCTGAGCATTGTGACATATCGTGGCCCAATCTTCATCGGCTGAATTGGCCACACTGCGTCAGCCAATGGTCGCATACCAAGGTCATAGCCAGCAAAGTCGGCAACAGAACCGGGCGGTTTGGTGAGACCTTAGAAGCAAAGCACAAGACATCTCACGACAGAAAGAGAAGGAATGAGAAACAAAACACTGAGGACTGTTGAGGGCAAGAGTTTGCATAAGACATAAACTTCCTAGACTAGAAACGGATGATGAATTAGAATCAAATTACTGAGAAATGACGATCAAAGGATAGCAGGATAGCAAAAGCGACGTTTTCTAAGACATCGTTGCGTGATCGGACGAGGCGGTGTGGTACAAATCCATCTCCCATCTACTGTGCAAAAGAAACAAAAAAACAAAATGTTAATGGCTGAAGCAAGAAGTGTGAGCTCCTTGTCGATAGATAGATAGATAGATAGATAGAACTAGCGAGTAACTCTTGGAACCAGGCCATGCTGGCAAGCACACTTGGGAAATGACTCTGATCCTGGCGCTGCCAGCTGGCTTACTTGACCCCCGAAAATTGACGCTGGTATTTGCGCCTCAGCTCCTCCTCAAGCACTCCACAAGGAGGATTGAGGTTGTGTGCTTTGTGCCCTCGAGCCAAAACAGCGAAAGACTACTGACTAGTGATGAGATTGGGCTGTCAATGCGTCATAATATGTGTAGCTGAAGCAAATTCCGCAGAAGAGAGGTACACTAACACCAGCACCTTTCTCTCACATGTTGTGATTGCTCATGGGTTTCCAGTTTCCAACGGCTTTGGTCGGAATCTGAGATTTCTCTCACACTCTGCTGCATGTTGCAACAGTCGGTGAGACAGCGAAATCTATGAACATCATGAAGCGTCGAGGAGCCCATGAGCGAATACAACACTTGACAGAACTTGAACAAACTAGGCAAAACGTGAACGGGTTCGCTCAACAGAGCATTGGTAGCAAATATCAATCTAGGCAACTTCCTCTCTCTCTCTCTCTGTATCGTTCTCATTCTATGATTTCGATCTCGCCTTTTATGCACAATGTCTGGTCTTGCAAGCTCAAATGAGGTCCAAGAGCTCCACACTATGCCACACTGACATCTTGTCAGCAAAGCAATGCAAACCATGGTGAGGCTTATTCAAGCGACTTATATAGATCTATTTTACCACTACTGCCAGCAGTACTGGTGCCTTGGACGATCAATTCAAAGGGATTGCGTCTGGGCAGCATCGCGATCAGTGTCTGCATCTCAATACCTTGTGGTCGCTGGCACCGCTGGGTGTGCATGTGTTGCATCCTGTCTAGATTGGGCTTGGCGTCACCGGTGCCTACTGCACATTCTTCGGAGGAAAGCTCCCATGAGACATCTGCATAGTTGAACCGGAAAAGCACTGCGGAACAATCTGCTTGGTGATATGAAAATCAGTACAAGTTCTCACGGTTCTAGGATGCAAGGTCAATCAAATTTTTACAGCATGAAAAATGTATAAAACAACCCAAAGGGCAATTGCATAATAATTACGTGCACTCGACAAAATGGGAGCCAAAACAAAGCCCCCTTCAACTTGACGGCAACACACAAACATGGTCCATCACAATCTGGGCGCTAAAGTTGCAAATGTCCATTAAAGTGGCGGAACGCAATCAACAGCTTGCAGCGTGAAATCAAACAAATCTCCTGGTCCAAATGGCGCGTTCGCTGAACTTGTCGTCAAGTATTTGGACGTGGAAAATGTCAAAAACTCACTCGGGGCCTCAACCAATTATGGCAAGACAAGTTAGTGCCAAACAATTTCACCCATGCCCACATTGCTAATTAGCCTGTACAAGAAAGGAGGTCGTGAAAACCCTGGCAACTATACATAGGTACGACCTACAATGTTTCCACATATTAATATATGTTTGCTGAAAAATTAGTTCAATGCAATTTGGTTTTCGAAGGGCAAGTCAACTACCGACCCGTTATTCGTGCAAGGTTGTGAAAACTTGTTTATCTTCCTGGATTGGGAAAAAGCTTTTGATAAGAGTCCTTATGAGAAAACGGTTGCCATAGCTTCGTCATGTTTCCCCTCCAAGCACCCTGTTTAAGACTTTCATGAAACCATAAATATGAAACCTCATGTCCACTATATGACACGTGCACATGCCTGCATAGTTTTACTCCCATGCTGCCCGCAGCGTTAGGGCGAAAGTCCCTTAGTTATCTCGGGTGAACTATTGCCTTGCTTGGAACCAGCTATCTTTCATATCTTGCCTTGGATTTTTGGTCGCGATGAGGGACATGTGGTAGTAGTAGATCAACAATGCACATTATTGAGCTATCAAAAAGAAGGGAAAGAGATGCAAATTAAGAAATGTATATCATATGAATCCTGTAGAAAGCCTTGGGCATTAAGATAAAGAAATGACATGACAAAATACAAACTTCTATCTTTTTCTCATCTGGTTCTAAAGAATATGTATCTGAATTTCAAGAGAAATAAGAAAAACTATATCTAGACAATACAATAACAAAAAACACATATCATATGTGCGTTAATAGATCCTTAAGTTTTAGATGAAGAAGTTATTCTTATGCAACAAATTTAAATGCCAACACATATCATAGATTCTTCAACGAAATAAAGTAGACATTAGAAACCTAGATAGTAATAACCATGACTTTTTTGAAGATTGGATAGTACTTGATTGATCTTTATTGGTCCTGTGTACCAAACCTTGGTTATCTTACTCTGGCCGTGGTCGCGAAACTCAAAGTTATTCATCACCTGCAGTTGCCGTCGGGCCTTTCCTTATAGAGTACGACTCTTTGACGTATGAGAGCGCAGCAGCTCGATGAATGTCTCACTGGCCACTAGTCGCATTCTTGCTACGAGCCCCTAGTAGCGTCCTTGCTCCTAGTAGCGATGCCAGGAGATACTAGTAGCATCTAGTAGCATTCTTGCTATTAGTAGTAATGCCCTTGTTACTATTTATGTTGCCTGGCCAAATACCTTTCAAACGTGTGGCCTGTGACTTCTGAAAGTAGCCCACACGCTTCGGGAATTAAGGCCTCAATCATGGACGACTTTTCCACATTGTCCACAACCAGTGAAGGTAGAGTCACGCAGAAAGGGCATGTTCAAGCTTGTTCGGGCGCGACTGACAAAAACAACCAAGTCATTCTGTGATACCAGAAAGTTCAAAATCTCTCCTGAATCGAACACCCACACTATATAGTAATATGTTACTCTTGTTCACGCAGAATAATGTTGTTTCCTCCAGCCATGCTGACTTCACAACTTTCAACGGCTCAGCACCCAGGTAGCGCACACACCTTCCAGGAAGCCTTCCAGGCCTCGAAGCTTGGTGGCCCCGGGATGTCCAAAGCTTGGAACATCACATCGACCTGATCTGGGCGTGGCCCGGCCGAACGGGCATATGGGCTTTCTCCACATCGCAGTCCTGTGCCTGAATGCTGCTATTTGTTGTGAGGCTGATTCTGATCCGTCGCCGGGTTCCGAGCCATGTCGACGCGCCACAAGTGCGTGGTCCAGTTCGACTCTCGACATGAGATCGATCTCTGAGTCGTCCATTTGGTCTGACACTCGAAACTGTGGAAGAAAGTGGGAGCTGGCTACTCTGCAAGTGGCTGGGGCCATGGGAGGCTGTGGATCTGCAATCCAAATCTGCCGCGCAACTCTCCATGTCCGTGCTCTGCGATTCCCTCTGATCTGGATCGTTCCCAACCCTGACGGCCCGCAGCATGCGCTTCAGCATGGAAGGAGGCAACAATTTGTAACAAATGAAACTTCGCAAAAAGCCACCCTCGATTTCAAGTGTTGCACAAGGCTTGCCCATGGTTACCTCACCGAACGGGCATTCGCAAGGGATGTCCTCTCAGCCATCGTCTGTTCATTTTGACGCATGTCATGCTTGGCTTGCCGATGTATATATATATATATATATGTGCCGTTTCAACGACACGCGCCCAAAGCCTTCCATGGGAGAAATGTTCAAGAGCTTCTCTATGCGAATGTCACATTGTTTGAATCAAGTCGTAATCACCACACATGCTGCTACATAGCGCATGACTGCCAGGGCAGGGTGCGGTTCTGCAGTGGTGAATTGATGAAGTGTACCGACAGGGCTACATGCTTAGGAGGCAGCGTCAAACAAAAGAAATCAGCCCACAGCACGAAATCCGGCAGGGGATATCGGACTTGATGGCAGACCTCAAGAAATTGGACATCTTTTGGCTGAAAACCAGCAGCCCAACAGCTGTCAAAAGTTGTACTGCTTGTTTAAACGCCCTAATCGCATTTGCCAGCAAACTTCTGCATGGTATTAGACATTGGAGCCTACTGTCGCGCCACAACAATTGCTTGTCACCTTCCAACTCAAAGGTCTTAGAAAGATTCTCAGACTTTTTTGCATACTACAACTTACAACTTTCACTCAACCAAACTCAAACGAATACGTTTACAAGCGAGCAAATGAAGTGTTGAATGCACCGGCACAAGGTGTTGGGAGAAAGTAAGCTGCTTACTGCTTACTGAGATTTTAGAAGGGAAGATGTTTCTCAGCCATGCCTTCCTTCCAACAAATCGAACTGCGCCATGCGTGAACACTCCGTGTGAACGGAGCAAACTCCGTGTGAAGCAACAGAACTCACTGTGAAAACGTTCAAGCATCTTCATTTGCAACACTTATCGAAGGAGTTCAATTTTTTGGTAGGAAGCTGGGCCTTTGGTACGAAGCTGGGCTCGGCCTGAGGCCTTAGAAACTCAATTATAGTTTTTATAATTGTAGGAAGCTAGTGTGCGCCGACGACCTGACACAATGACAGCTGCGGGTTACAGAAGAGAAAAAGGCCAAACAACCAATGGGATCAGAAGACATTCGTCCCATTCAGCACAGGTAGTTCTCTTTGACTTTTTGAGCTGTTGGCGAGTCTCTCCACCAAGACCATTGGCTCGGATTCTTCGGCTCTACTCGGCTGCAACAGCATGGTGACCGTTCAGACCAGACTTGATCCTGTTCAGACTCCTCTTGGCCACGCTTCAAAGCACTGCACCCAGTCATTTCCGATGCATCAGGCACTGCATTCATCGACCAGCTCGACCAGCTGGCGTTCATCCTCGCCAATCGCAAGTAAAAGCCCAAGCCCTGTGGCATTCTCTTCTTTCGGGACCAGGCTTTTAGTCTCCTGGTATCTTGTGGGCTTAAGTCACCAAAGAAAACTAACTCAAATGGGCCTTTAATGGTCTTACGGCAAGTATCAATCAGTCCTTGCAAAAAAAATAATCAAGAAACAGTGCAAAAGTAAGTACAGTATCTGGAAACTAAACACACTTACATTTGCCGGAAAATGCAAAACACTTAGCAGCATTGGTATTGTCCTTTCTCTTTGTCAGGTGGTAGTGGCTTTTGAGCTGTGTGTCTCTTCGCCACCTGCAAAATAAAGGTATGCTGCACCCTGCTGGAGCAAACAGAACTGCAAAGAAGCTTCGGAAGCGGCTCTTTCAGCCTTGTCCTGTTCTGATGGCAAGTGCCACTGTGACGGGTCCATTGAGCTTTCATCGCCATCATCTGTTGCAAAAGAAAAATCTGATCTCACAAAGTGATCATGAGATAATTATGAGTAAAGCTCCACCATGAGTTCTATCTTCATATTTCTCCATGCCTTTGTGGAGCTCAACATCAGGCCTCGCTGAGATTCGGTCAGATTCTGGGTGCTTCACTCTCTGAGGTCGCGACAACGGGCCCAACCTGATTGAAAACAATCGAACATTGCCAAACTCATAAGAAAGTAACAACAAATTGGTATTGAACATCAAACAATTTCTGCAGGCACCCTGGATGTTTCTGGACAAAGTTGCCTCCGCCGCAGCTCAAGGAGCTCGGTGGAGACCATATTCTCATCGAGCCCTGACCTCAGCAAGCACAGGAAGCCACCCTTAAAAGAGACGCCATTGCAACCACGTTTAAAATATATTGCTCGATCATCGATAGAAAATAGGTGTTCCAAACTGTAACTAAAATGTCATCTCACAAACAAATCAATCATGACCCGATGACCGATTATATATTTTAGACAAAAAATGACCCAACTGATGTTTGTGTGCGTGCATGCGTGCATGTATGAAAAGCTTTTTCTAATCCTACGCGCAGGACCCACAAAGGCCACTTTACAATCACTTCAAAGTGCCTTAGGTGTGGATATCATCTTGATTCCAAGTCGCAACGATCCCAAATGTTTTGTGCACACTGGCAGGAATCTTTGTGGAGCCCCTCCTGCAGCCCTGTTGACATCATGTTGACCGAGTTGCGCAGGCGGTCATATGTGGGGTGGCTCCGTAAGTTCCCTACCTTTAGCGCTTTCTTTGTCGCAAAAGCCTGACCTTTTTCCATAGAACCAGATGTAAGATTGCCAGGACAGACGTGTCATGTTTTCAAAGTCACAGTTTCCTGAAGCAAAGCCAGGAGGCCATGAGCTTTGTCTTGCAGCGGCTGCATGGGGGAGATTGGTGGAGATCAGGCCACGTACCTTGGCACTTGCGCCGCTGGAGAGAGACACTTCGATTTGACCACGCAACACGCAACGACACGGGAACGGAGGTTCAAGACTTGGTGGAGGCCGGTGGCCGGTGGTGCGACGTTTTGTCAGCATTCTTCGTTGACCTGAAAGAGCCTTGCTGAAAGTCTTGCAGGGCTCTTTCGAGAACAGTCTCTGCTGTGATTGCGGTTACTCTGCAACCACCGTGGAGCCTTGGTGGATCTTGCAGTTTGGTGTCACTGGACACAGTTTGGAGGCGCCCTGATTTGTGAATGTGACAGGTTGTTCAAGACAAGCAAGAGCAAGCTGTCATTTCTCCATTTGGGTGTCTATTTGTAATTAGATATGTTGCGTGGATTGATATAAAAAGTGTCGAGCCTATACCATACATGCTGGTGCATGCAATGCGAACAGGATTCGCTGGAGAAGTTCTGCTCTTCTGAAGAGCTTGATGCTGCTAAGTCTGGCTGCCCCGACGTGTTGGGTTAATGTCGACATGGTGTGACTAAACATGGTATAATTATGATGGAAAATAGTCCGCATCTGGGCCTGCCAAAATGAAGGCCTATCAAAATAGCGTTCTTTGTAGCCAATGTTTGGCAATTGGCAACGAAGGGATTTAATATGTGGGACGTTAGTGTGTGAAGGGATTTAGTCTTGGTGACTTCTCCTGATTGACCGCCCCAATTCCAAACGAACATCTTACTTTTGACCCCTTGAATGAGAAACCTTCAAGAGGTCTTTTTCTAATGCGGCACTGGCATTGCAAACAGCATGCTTCTCGCTAGACATTCTGCAGAGTGGTGGTTTGAACCCACCACTTCTTTTGCTGTTGGAGGTGTGCGTCTTGCGGGGGAAACAGCTTGAGGAAGCAGCTAAAAGTGGTTCATCTTCCACAGGCAAGACGTTGACTTCTACCAAAAACGTCACCTTATATGTAATTGTATAATTGTGAATGACGTCTAAGCGCTAAGCAAAGGAGATGAAAAATGTTAAAATGATTAAAATAATGTTCAAATTGAGATTGCGACAATGCACAAAGCGTCAGCAAGTTACGCATAATCATATATTATATATATACTTTATTACTTAATATATATATATATATAATTATATAGACAGTTATATAGACACTTTTGAGAGCCAAGTCCGTGCTATGTGTACTAGAACCATAGACCATAATTCACAATATAATTGTCTACCCTCTGAGGAACAGGTTCAGGAAAATCCCGAAAACAATACAAAAGACAAAAGCAAGGAGGCAAAAGTGATTGAAAAGGTCTAAGAAGCAGACTCGACGAAGGCAACAGCCACATCATGCATTCCTACCTGCTTTCGTTGACGCTCAAAGTCGACAATGAATAATGCCTACAGGTGAGATTGAGCAGTTTCGAGCGAGTGTCCTCAATTGCGCACATCGCTCCCCGCCAAGATGACCTTATCCAGCTTTAGAGTCCGAACCACCATCACTTGCGAAGCATTGTAGGTCGGCTGCTTGGTGTGAGCTGGATCAAAGCGCAAGGCCTTGCTGCGTACTCGTGACAAAGACGAAAAATCAGAGGATGGACACCCAAAACAACAAATAAACGAAGACATCCGTGTCTCATCCTAAGACTGATCCTACCAACTTCATCTGCAGTCTCAAGCAACATATTGTTTTGGGAATCAACTAAGCACAAGGCGGCATGGCATTGATCTATCGCCTTTGCGATTTGTGAACAATCAGGCAAAGGGCAATGAAATGCAAACCTACTGTAGACCAAAGGTCTGTAGACAAAAGGTCTGCCACAAATGAAACCTCACCTCCAGCCACTTTCTTTGCTTCATCAATGCCTTGCGTGATTGCGGTATGTTGAACGGTTTGGACGTTTTTGCAGCTCCTGTGCACTGTTTGAATGCAAAATGGCAGCCAGCTGTGTGGCGTCCGCACCTGCCACACTTCGAGCAGGAACTTGACTCAATCTGAGAAAATTTAACAATAACAATGATCGAAACCAATGTTTCCAATGTTATAGACAAAATACCATCGGTGTGTGTGTGTGTGTTTCAACACACCCTTGGATCGAGATTCTAGGCATATGGCCTGGCAATGGCATGGGATAGTAAACGTTGTGCGTGCCTTTGGTGTCGCCGTTCGAGGTGTCCAAATGTTGCAAAGCCTCAAAGAACCAATTTTGCTACGGATTAGTTTGCCTACAAAACAAATCACTGCCAAAAATCACACGTGCCTCTGCATAAAACTGCAGTGCACCTCCAACAGCAAGGATATTTGCAGGCCAACAGGCCTACGTGGGCCCTTGTGATCTCTTGTGAACCTAAACCCGCCTGCACTGTTGCCGGTTGCTAGTCTCCGATTCCCACGTTCCTGCACATCAAACCAACGTTTACGTTGCAACAAACGGAGGATGCCCTCCCACAACCACAGCAGCAAGGAGAACGCAATAGTTGTTGTCCTTCAGTTCCTTGCAGCGAACCAACCAATCGGTGTCGTTGTCCATTGCTTCGATCAATCACTGCATCTTGAACTGCCCGTCCATATGCAGTCACCACTACATGTCGTCGTGCTGTTTGCAAGGCCCGCAGGCATCTGCGTATTAAATGGCTGCCCTACCCCCCCCCTCCACCTGTTGTCTGCTACGTTTCGCTTGAACCAATGGAATATTTCTGTACAGGACACTTTGTACGGTACCAACAGTTCGTATCACGTTTGGTAGCATTCGCACGTCCAAATTTTCTCCACTGAAATCCTTCATTACGAGAGCATTTGGTAGTGTCCACCGCCATATGTCTGGAACACTTTGATCGGATCGCCCCTGCACAGCTTAGCGTTCGAAACCATGAGACATGTCGTTGCATATCAATCCTGATGTTTGGTGAACGGCCTGGCTTCGCTAAAGCAGCGCGCTTCGAAGTATGGCAAGACCTGAAGGAGTCACTTGACCCTTCCCTTGAAACTTGCAAAAACAGCAAAGGAGTTGGTTGTTCGTGCCTCCTTACTTCCATCCTGGGCCCAGCAAGGATTCCAGATTCCAATGGTCCCACAAGCTCCCCGCAGCAACGAGTCATCATGTTCTTCTGCGGCCTCCAATTCCTTCATCTTGAGTCCACCCTCCGACACCTGAATGAGCAAAAAGTTGTCAGAATTCATTTCACCGCACGTTCACTGGCGCTGTGGCGTCCGACGGTTCACCGTCCGATCCCGAACCTTTTCTTCTAAAGCATGTGCGGTGCACAGTCTGGAGGAGCTGAGATCTCTAAAAAATCACAGCTTTCCCGGGGGCATCCCAAGAAGCACATCATCATGGCAAGCATGTGAAGAATGCTACCGAGGTTGATCAAGTACCAGCGAAGATTTCATCTGAAATGTTCATCAGCTTCAAAGGGATCTGTTCAACCCAGGAACCAAAAAGTGGTTTCACCTTCATGAGGCTGGTTTATCCAGATTGATTCAGCCTCCAGCTATTCCGCTTTCAGGCAAAGTCCTTTGCCGCCGCAAGCGCTTCATCCAGCTTCGATGCATCACCTTGCCCTTGAGCCTTGTCATCCTCGCCACTTCCGGACATCTCGAGGAAACACAGGTGAATCTAGCAAGATAATCGGGATGGAAACCCCATAACATAATCGTTGCAATCAATTGTTCGACAACACCGTCCTTTCCACCACCCTTGCCGCCGATTGCATCCAAAACCTTAAGCGTGGCCAGGAGACAAAGTCACCACGACGACTCCAAAACAAAACTGGGCGTTCAGGAGCGCCTCATGAAAATGGCAAATGCGTCTAAATACGCATTGTACACATATATAGAAATATGTCTGTCTGTGTGTGTGCGCATCATGTCCGACAAGTGCAGTAGGTGGGCGACATGGCAATTAGGGTTCAAAAGGGACTTTCAGGTCCTTCGTAGTTCGAGCGCTTCGCCGCCATCGCCATTTGACCGTAAATTAGAAAGTACCACGAGAACATCCACATTGAGCAGTACAAGCTACCATTGCTACCACTCGCATACTGTGTGTATGTATGTATGTATGTATGTATGTCTGTCTGTCTGTCTGTCTGTCTGTCTGTCTGTCTGTCTGTCTGT